ACACCTTGTGGTCACACAGGCTGGTGTGCTTCTTCCACGTGGGCTTTCTTGCTTCTGAGCTAGATGGCTATTTGTTTACCTTCAAGCCTTGAAGACCCCAAACACTATATCTTTTGATAGCCGGGTTCCATCATATTTCTTCACCATATTTGCTTATGCACACATTCATTTTCAGTAATTGTGTTGGGAAGGTGTCCATCGTGAAATGCTAATTTAATCGAACAAAGTGTTCTTGTATTGAGGAAGTACTTGAGTGGAGGCCTAGTGTCCATCTGCTGCCTTAATACTAAGCCTATAAATTAATGCACGTAGATCTATTTCCCCATCTTCATATATAAATATATTTACATATGTACATGCCTGTATTTAAACCTCTATAAATGACCTTTGCCTCCTAGTTCTTTGCTCTAGTTCCTTTTACTTTCCCCTTGTCCCACTATCATGCTCAGCCTTCATTTGGGTTTCAGTAATTTCTCTTGGTTAGATTGCCCTTGAACAATCCCTTCCAGGCCTCACACCCCCTCCTTGCCACTAATTGTGGATTACTTGTTGTTCCCTTGTCCCTCGGTTGGTCAACACCACCTCTTTTCCCCCACCTCCCCCTCTTCCATGTCCCCCCAGAACCATTAGTCCCATTATTTTCTCCTCCAGACTGTTGATCCAGCCTATCTTATCTAGATAGACCTGCAGAGATAATAATATGCACACAAAAAAACAAGACATAGCAAGACAAAGCAACAAAGGAAAACAATGATAACAACAACAAAAATAAATAAATTAAATTTTAAAGGGAAAAACCTGTAAATAGTTCAAGGTCTCTTTGTTGTCCTCCAGTCCCCCCGCTGCTCTGCCACATGCCCTTAGTGTTTTGCCTCAGAGTGGTGGGGGTCAGACCAGACCAATCCCAACACTGAGTCTCTAGTGTTGTCTTACGTAGAGCCATCGGTCAGCAAGGGACATCTTGTCTCATAGCCATATGACCACTCTGTGTATTGGCTGTTCTGACCCAGGATATTGTCCTCCAAGCTTGGTGGGCTGGGATG